GACGACTGCCCTTTTTTCGAATTCGACTTCTGCCGATGTCGACGATTGAACTCCGCTCCTGAAAATCGCATTTGAAGTCGAATTTCAACTAATTTCAACCTCCGGTTCGTTTATGCGGAGTGCGAAAACCTAGTCTTTAGTGTAAAATAAGGTTTCAAACACAAATTTCGGAAACCTACATTTCGTTAGTTCCGTATCGTTTATGCCGTGATTTGAACCTTGGTTTCAAACTCAGGTTTCGATTGAAGTTAGGTTAAGAGGCTCGCATAAACATTATGTTTCAAACTCAGGTTTCGATTAGAGTCCCTTTATACCCAGAGTTAAGACAACTCACTTTTGGTTCGGCTGAAAGTGGCCTAAAAAAAAATCCAATTCTGATTGGTTCTCGCTCATGGAGGCCGAAACGAGTGCACCAAGATGGCGGTACCTCGAATGTGAACAAGAATAATGAAAATATTACCTAATTTTGGTTTATCAAGAGTAAATTGTTATTTCCATCGGTGCAAAATGAAAATAGATTAAGAAATTATTCACAAACCAATCTCATTTTCTTTTTAATTAATCAATTTGTTGATGTTGTTGTTTTTGTTTGACAGACATCGCAGGATTCCTGATCCTTATCCCTCAATATCGTTCGTTTTGGTGCACTCGTTTCGGCCTCCATGGCCAGCCAAGGCCGGCTGCCAGTCAGCTGATAATCGAGTTGTCTTAACTCTGGGTATAAAGGGACTCTAGTTTCGATTGAAGTTAGGTTAAGAGGCTCGCATAAACATAGCTAGTGTGAAAGCGGCCTTAGTAGGAATTGGACTGACCCCCCCGCCCGTCCTACCATAAGCCGCAATCACACGCTGAATTTGGCAGCTGAATGTGGCAGTCGACAGTCAGCACTCAACAGCTGAAATTTCACTAATTCGAGTTATCAGGCCTAGAGTACCTGCCCAAGTAGCAGTGATCGCGATAAATTGCGATTTAATTGGAGAATGTATCGCGATTTTATCGACGTCGCGATTTATTGCAATATTATCGGGAGAAAAATCGCGATAAATTGCAACAAAATCGCGATATTATCGAACGCGATTTTATAGAGATAAAATTGCAATAAATTGCAATTTTTCATTAACGCATGAATGACGCATATGAAAGATGTTTCTATTCCGCCGCCGCCGTTTTTACCGAGATCCGTTGGTAACTTAACCATCTTATTTTTTTTTATCAATTATTAGTATAATGTTACAAAGACAGACTGGTAAGCTTACCTGAAAACCGGTATTTTTACTGATTTTTTCAGGTAAGAATGCCACTTTTATTGGTAATCAATCCCCGGTAACTTTACCATTTTATCTCGGTAATTCTACCACAGTCGATAAAAACTATTGGCGTTTTTCCCAAGGTCCATCGGTAACTTTGCCATCTTATTATTGGTAATTTTTACAGAGACAGAATGATGAGATTACCAATAGAACCTTATTTTACCAACCGTATTTCAAGGTATGAAATAAAATACAGAGGAGGGAAAATTAAAAAAAAAAAAAAAAAAAAAANAAAAAAAAAAAAAAAAAATCCAATGAAAAATTGGTGTCAGTCAACGCAAAGACATAAGTTGTGAGGTTGCGAAGCGCCGATCCATGTATAAGAGGCTTCAATTCGCACACGCAAGTCATATAGTGGTCATAGCATAATGACAATGTGCTGGCCTTCCACCGCAGCGATTGGGGTTCGAATCCCCGCGGAGGCTCCGGGGATTTTACGCTCGTCTTCGTCAAAGGACCTGACGGCTGAACCTAACGGCAATCGGCTGACAACTTTAACCCCTTTTTTTTGGCGATTTTATCAATCGCTAGGATCATCAACATCTGAGCGATCATCCTCGATCTTATCGCGATAAAATCGCAATTTTTTTGGGCCGATAAAATCGCAATAAAATCGCGAAAAGATCGAGGATAATCGCTCAAATGTTGATGATCCTAGCGATTTTATCGCCGATAAAATCGAGGATAATCGCGACTTTATCGGCGATAAAATCGCGATTTTTCCGTTGAAAAATGCTACTTGGGTGTATAGCGAGAGTATGGACAGATCGCTTCATGGAGGGCTTAGGGCCCAAAAGTGCAGCCACCCTTCTAACCAACTTCTAACGCACAAAATTTCACTGCCAGTCTGTAGATTCCCATTCTAACGAAGATGGCTAAGAAAGTACATAAATGAGCGTTCTTCCACAAAAATGAGTAAATTTATGCAAAAACTAAGTCTAAATACGTGCTTTATAAACGATGGTTCGTAACAATTGTATAAATAAATCGCTCTGGATAATTGAAATTCATAGGTTGGCTGCATTTCTGGGCCCTAACTTTATTCGCAGAGGCATCGGTGAAGGCCTGATGGATTTTCGGAATTTCACATCTGTCTATACTCTCGCTATACAGGTACTCTAATCAGGCCTAGTTACACGATCAAATTGAGCCATCAAATTGGGCCTCTCATTGGTCGCATCCTCAGCTCAATTTCATCATGTAACTGGACCTTATCCAAATGTGTATAAAATCTATTCGAGTAGTTCAGACAAATCCGAAATTATCAGATGGTCGCTGAGAATCGTTGCTGAATTTTACACGTCTATGAAAGTTAATGATTATCAGTGGTTCTCCACTTCTCCAGATAGAAATAGTCAACGGGTGATCTGGATCACCCGGTATCTAAATGAATACTGATCATTCAAATCCAAGCGTAAACTGTGTTCACAATAATGTAATTGTATAAAATTAAATGGAGGATGTGAGGCACTTTGCGGACGAGTGTCCAGTACTGCCAATACAATTCAACAAATCTATGTAGGGAAAAAGGATTTGGATGGCGAAAAGTTTTTAAGTATGCTGAAGAGAGAAAATTTTAAAAAGTTAGCTGAATTTTGTAAAAATACTTATGTATCGGCACGAGTTGGTGAGAGAGTTTCAACTTCTGGTCATCTAAACACAAAAGCAAGCGTAATAAGAAATATTGTTTCTATAGAGTTTTTGGGTAATGTAATTGTCATGCTGCTCTTATATTATGTTTTAAATTCTAAGCAGGGTTATATGGTTGTGCTGTTAAATTATTATTACCATATTATTACTAGTATCAAGCATGTCCATTATATTAATACCCCTCCCCCGGGACGGCGGTAATGTCCGCCATAGGGTAAGCCAAAGCAACCTGGAAGAAGTGAATGATTGTAAAAGAAAAAAAGAAGAAATAAAAGCCAATTATTTTTTTTTTTGTAACTCAGAAGAGGGAACACTTCCGGCAAAAGTATTACTGACGGGCCTCAGGCCAAAGTCAGTAACACATACTATCTTGCTTGAAAAAAAAGGGTAAACGTTATTTTAAAGTAAAATTTAAAAAAATTTTAAAAAAATTAAATTTTAAGTGAAATCAAAAAATTATTCGATATTAAGAAACGACCTGACAATACTTGACGTGCTTATAACTGCAGTATGGCTATGTGGCATCATAGCCTTACTCAATAGGGTGTGTGCCCGACCTGGCAACGGGGCACCCACAGACACACTGGCAACTAGCCAGAGCCAGCCCCTTTCTGTTCAAGTTGTGATCTCGTTATAATCGTTATAATAAACATCTTTGAGTGATCATCAGCGTCTCATTTATTTCGGCTACCGACCCACATCATGGCGACGAGGATAACGTGACGGAAATCAGCGAATTCACCTGATCAGCTAAGAACTGGGGACTGGCCATGCACCTGTTAGGCCACCATGCTCACTGCCGCAGATCATCAGAAGAAAATGGGTAAATAGATTGTTTTAACTCATCCCCCGACATGACGCTCAAGCAGAATCCACAGCTACAGTGATTTCAGTGAATTTTATCCTATCGATTTAGTTCGAATTGTTTTTAATTTTTAGAATGTCTTAGTCTCCATGCGCTTCAAGGTTATGACTGATAACAGTACCAGATGAGGCACCTATCATTATTATAGGCTAAGCAATTATTGCATTCAAGAATCTCTCATACTCGCAATTAAAACAATGGAATTGCGAACTCCCGATCCCCTTTCTCTCAGTGGAAACGTCCATGAAAACCTGAAACGTTTCAAAAAACAGTGGTCCAATTACAGTATAGGCTACGAATTAGACAAGAAAGATGAGAAAGTCCAAGTCGCTATCTTTCTCAACATATTGGGCACTGACGCAGAAGAAATTCTTAACACCCTCATCATTACTGACGCTCAAAAGAAAACAGTAGATGGTCTTCTAAAAGTTTTAACTGAATTTGCCAAGCCTAAACTAAACATAGCTTACTGAAGATACTTGTTCAATACGAGAGATCAACAAGAAGGGGAATCATTCGATCAATTTTATATGGCAATTAGAAAATTAGCCGAAGATTGTGGATTCGAAAAGCTGAGAGATTCACTTATCAGAGACCGAATCATCATAGGCATCCATAATGTTCAACTGAGAGAACGTCTCCTCGGCGAGGAACTGCCGCTAGAGAAAGTAGTTTCCTTGTGCCTCTCCGTCGAAGCAGGAAAGAAAAGGTCGAATGAAGTCAATCAACCCAAAGCATCAAGTGTTGATCTAGTCAATAGTGGAAGATTTCAAGGCAACCCCTCAAATCAAGGCAACAACTTCGCTGGACGAGCTCGAAACAACAACTCTGGCCAAGGACGAAACAACAACTTCGGACAAGGATACAACCATCAAAGCAGGTACAACTCGCCCAATCAACAGCAGCCGTCAAGAATCATTGATTGTCGTTCCTGCGGTCTACAACATCCTGTGCGACAGTGTCCTGCTTATCGGCAGCAGTGTAAAAAATGCTTAGGTCGTAATCATTTTGAAAAAATGTGCCGTATTAACGAAGTGATTTGTCCTGAAAATTCAGCAC